TTCAAGCTTAAGATTTGGTCCAATTGATGCTCAAATCAAAATTTTATGTAGTCCAAGTTCTTATATTTAGTTCGAACCAAATTGAAGTCCAAATTGGTGAATCCTTTGATGTTCAAAGGCTTACAAGTCTCCATCACTTGATTCAAGTTTAGGTTCATGAATCTCTTATGCAACTCATTTGAGTTCAAATTCTTTATTCTACCGTTCAAGTCCAAATCAAAGTCCCCTGTGGTCTTTGTAGAGTTCAAGTCCGAGCTCAAAATGAGTTCAATCAAGTTCAGTTCAAGCTTTGTTGTCTTTCAAGTTCATTATAGATCAAGTTTGAATCAAATTCTCATTCCTTACAACATCGCTTGATTAAGTTTTGATTTAAGCTTGATTTTGTCTTAAATTATGCCCAAGTTAAGTTCATTTGATGTCCAAATAAAGTCTACTGTTTGTTCTAAGTCCTTGTCATTTTCAGATAAAAATTTGGTAGCCTCCCGGCGTCTCTCCTGTTTAGGGGAAAAACTAAGAGGCCGCCTACCCGCCACGTCAATAAAGACGTGCACGGTTGGTGTTTGTGAGACACCACGGCGATGATTTTTTTGTTTGTCATCCACCACGCCAATAAAGGCGTGCATGAGTTTTTAATAGCAGTTTTTGATGGTACTTGCTTTAAAAAAAATAGTTTACTTTCCCCCCACTCGGGGGTACTTATGGGTGACCCCGCCTCGCCGTAGTGCCGCACCGGAGTCTCATCCCACCATGCGTAATAAAGACGTGCTTGGGCGGTTTTCCGATCCGCCTCGAACATTGAAGTAGGATTTTTAGGTAATCACCTTCCTCGTTGTAGGCGCCGCATCGGGGTCCCATCCCACCACGCGCAATAAAGGCGTGCACGGGTGATTCTCCTGTTCGCCGCTAACTTCGAGAGCGAGAATCTAAGTTTAGGGAGTTTTGTACCTTCGCGGGTTGGCGGTGAAGTCGGCACGTAGATCGAGGCATAACATATTTAATTCATAATTAATTACAAATTATTTATAAATAATTATATTTGACATATAATTAATTATATTTAATTCATAATTAATTATAAATTAATTATACGTAATTTATAATTAATGATAAACTAATTATAATTAATTATATTTAATTTAAAATTAATTATAAATAATTAGATTTATTTTAAAATTAAATAAAAAATATAATTAATTATGCGTGAGGGAGAGAGCCACCTTCACGAGAGGGAGAGAGCCACCTTCACGACAAGTGAGCTCCTGCTGTGGCTTCCGATCGGGCAATTAAAGGGCAAGGGAGGCGTCTTCACATCGAGCTCCCGTCGCTTCCTGCGATCAAAATACCGGACTTCCGATCCGACGGGAAAGGAAGTGTCGTCGATGGAGCGGATGGAGGTAGGCTGATCTAGGGCTCCAGCTAGGGTGGAGATCGAAGGAAGAAGCTCGGCCGACAAGGTAGGGGAAGGCTTCTCTCTCTCTCTCTCTGGATCAAGGGCCAGTGAACAGGGCAGAGGCGAAGGGAAGAGGAAGCCTTGGGAGATTGGGTTTGGTCGTGGAGTCAGAGGTCGTGAGGGATTTGCGAACGGTGAGAGGAGGAGAGGTATCAGGAGAGCCCGTATGTGCGGCTGGAGCTTAGCAGTGGAGTTCGAATGAGAGCAGCGAGAGAAGTCTCCATTCCTTCGCTATTTAACGACCTCTGCGGACGCTCGATTGAGGCGAGAGATCGTGCAGAATGACCTTTCGGCGCCGAATAACAGAGTCGGGTACTGTAGCAGTCGGCGCGTTCAGCTGATTTTGCATAAGATTTGGGATTAGGTATGTTAAAATGCTTCTTTATTTTTGTTTTAACTTAATGAGGTCAACATTGAAAAAGTGCTCTTTTGAGCAACAAAGAATGGAGTACTTGGGACATATAGTGTCTTAAGTTAGGGTGTCAGCGAATCCAACCAAGATAGAGGCAATGGTGGAGTGGCTAGTGATTAAACCTTGAAGGAGCTAAGGGGGTTCTTGGGACTCGCAGGATAAGTTTATGAAGGAATACAGCTCTATAACCTGGCCGTTGACAGAGCAATTGATGAATAACAATTTTTAATGTGGGGTTGTAGCCACTTGGGCGTTTGAGCAGTTGAAAAAGCCATGACTGTGTCATTGTGTTAGCATTACCAGATTTCAACCAGTCTTTTGTAGTGGAGACTGATGCATTAGGCTATGAGTTGGGAGCAATTCTCATGCAAGGGCAGAGACTCATAACTTATTTCAGCCAAGTGTTGACTACTAGGGCTAGAATGAAATCAATATATGGAAGGAAACTGATGGGGATAGTGTTAGTATTCAAAAGTGTCGACCTTATCTGTTGCGGGGCACTTCATAGTTAGGACTGATCAGAGGAGTTTGAAGGTCATGTTGGAACAGAGGATGGTGATATAGGAGCATTAGCAGTGGCTTTTCAAGTTATTAAGGTATGACTTTGAGATCTAATACAAGTCTGTGTTGAAACTAAAGTTGCATATGCTATCTCCAGGCGTAGTGAAACTGAAGCCCCCTAGGTTATGACTCTATTATTTTCTTTAGTAGTGGATTGGGAGGTCTTAAAGCAAGAGAGCGAGTAAGATGAAGAGCTGAGTAAAATCAAAGGATATTACTTCAGAAAATGGACAATCACCTTGGTTACTTTTTGGTGGGTTAGAAGATGCTGTACCAGGGACGATTTGTGCTTTTGAGGATATCACCACACATCCCTAACTTGTTGCAGGAGTTTCATGGCATATCTATTGGGTTACATTTGGGAATCTAAAAGATATCGTCGACTGGCAGCTGAGTTGTATTGGATGGGCATGCAAAACGATGTGCAAAAGATGGTGGCCAATTGTGATGTTTGCCAAAGACACAAATACCAGGCTATGGCTTCAGGTAGTCTTTTATAGCCTTTAGCTTTACTTGAGAATGTGCGGGAAGGGGTGATTATGGACTTTATTGAGGGATTGCCTAAGTCAGAAGGATTCACCATGATTATGATGGTGGTGGACAGATGGAGCAAATAAGCTCATTTTATTCTCCTATGGCACCTATACACAGTGGTGTCAGTGGCCGCCACTTTCATTAGAGAGGTGATATGTTTGCATGGCATACTTGAGTCCATAGTATCTAATTGGGATAATATATTTCTAAGCCATTTCTGGAGGGAGCTATTCAAGATGCATTAGATTATCCTAAAGTGGAGTACTGCTTATCACCCTCAAACAAATGGCTAGATGGTGGTGGTAAATCGCAGTGTGGAGACTTATCTTTGTTGCTTTGTCTCGGATAACCCAACGATGTGGGCAAAATGGTTAGCCTGACAGAGTATTGATATAACACTTCATATCATACAGCAGTCTTGACAACACTTTTTAAAATCCTATATGGGAGGGATCCCCCTCATTTACTATATTATGGGCATGAAAACACGCCAGTATCGTTAGTGGAGCAATACTTGGGAAAAAAGGGGCTAGATCTTAGCAGAATTATAGGGGCATCTACTGCGAGCAAAATAAATTATGAAAGAGCAAGCAGATGGACACAGGAGGGATGTGCAATATGAAATTGGGGATAGAGTTTATATGAAGATCCAATCTTACAGACAGAAGACTGTAGCTCGACGGAGGAATGAGATGCTTTCCCTTCAATACTTTGGGCCATACGAGGTTGTGGTGTGCATTGGCGCGGTCGCATATCACCTACAGTTGCCACCAACTTCATCCATCAATCCAGTATTTCATGTGATGCAGCTAAGACGAGCCATTTTGAGACCATTCAACCTCGCCCCCACTATTGGCTACATTGTCAGGAGATATGGAGGTAAAATTAGAACCATTGGAGATGAAAGAGGTGCGCCAAGAAGACAAGGGGATCGGGGAAGTGTTGATTAAGTGGAAAATTTTACTAGAGTATGAAGCGACGTGAGAATCCTACAATACTATTCATAGGTAGTTTCCTTCTTTCCACCTTGAGGACAAGGTGACTTTTGAGAGGGGAGTATTGATGCGAATGTGGAGCCCACCCCCTGTGTGGTAGCTCGGCAGAATTCCAGGAGCCAAAAGGCTCCCTTTTTTTGGGTCCCAACACCTCATTTCGGACCTATAGGAGGAAAAAGTTAGGGGATATCATTGGAGAAAATGTGAGGTGCATTTATGGTGGGATTATGGATGAATTTGAGGGGGAAAGTTTGTATGTGGAGGGGATTATGTGAAGAATTTTCTGTAGTTTTCTTTGGTAATATTGGGTTCCTAGTTGCTGCTAGGAATTGGGGGATAGCCGATTCACCTCTCGAATAATGAATCAATTGTATCTTGTGTTTCTTTTGATTGAGATTATTATTTCAGCTTTATTAGTGTTGTTCATATATACCATTGCTGTTTTTACTTGGTTGGTGGCTGTTTTTTTTTGCCGGTTGGTGTTGATTTTGTTCTAGAATGTTTTGAGTGCTGATTTGATCCCCAAATCATATCACAACCTTCCTTTGTCATTATGAAAATTAGCTCAAGTTTTATGGCTTAAGTACTACTACGACAAGAAAACTAAACTGGAGCTCTTGACTTCAGTAAAGAATACATTAGGAATAGTTTTGTTTAGGATTTTTTTTTTCTATAAAAAAATTGCACGCCTGCCTTGGTTGCGTCAGTAATATAGATCATGAACGAGTTTTGTAATACATGATCTCCCTGGCTTTTTTTTTACCCCTGTATTTCTTATGGACTTTATTATTCATTTCATTTCGGCAGACTTGTTTTTGATGTAAATAAATCTTCACTCAATCATTGAGAAATTTTTTTTAGTTCCTTTTAACGTGATCTGCTATTTAACATCTTTTATCTCCATCTATGATGTAAAGAAATCTTCACTCAATTTTTGAGAAATTATTTTTTAGTTCCTTTTTAAGTGATCTGCTACTTAACATCTCTTATCTAGCTGTAAGGTTATTTTTCTGATGTCAGTAAACTTTTAATGTCCTATTGCTTTCAGCCGCACAAATGTCACTATGGTGCTTGCCCGCCTTGCAGAATTATTTGTGGAGAAGAACTTTCATGCGGTCATATCTGTAAACATAGGTTTTGGACTGTAGATTTGGAGTTCTTTTCTACGCAAGATTGCTGCTAACTTAATTGATTGAGTTGATAATTTCAAAAATTTCTGCCTGCATGTAGATGCCATGGCCCAATCCCTCCTCCCAACCCAGAATTCACATTGAAACCTAAGAAGAAGAAAATGGAGAAAAATATTGGAGTTACACCTGGATCAGCATGCCCTTCTTGTCAAGAAATTATTTGGGTAGCATGCCTAGGCCAACACCTTGGTGAAGAACGTCCGGTTTGTATCTTATCAGTTCCTCAAACTAGAATCATATGTAGTTGATATTTGATCTTCATAGGGTTTACTTAAGGTGCTTTTCCACTGTGCTTATCTGTTATGTTCATTTTTCAGATGGTTTGTTCAAAAACGTCCCAGTTTTCATGTAATAGCTTGTGTGGAAATCTTCTTGCTTGTGGCAATCATTACTGCACAAAGTCTTGCCATGCTGTGAAGTATCAGCCATCATCATCGGATGGACATGGAAGTTATAAGGATGATTTGGCACAAAAACATGGGCCTTCACTTTTAAATGCTGGAAGTGATCATGCAGAGTCGTGTGAAGAGTGTCTTCTTCCATGTCAAAAGGTTTGATTCAGTAAATTTATTCGAAATAATATTTTTTATTACTTGGTTATATTGTTCTCTTGAAATGGTTCTCATTTATTCATGAACATATTGTTGAAGGAAAACTCTAGGAAGCCGATCTCTGATGATCCATCTAAGACGAGCTCTTTTACCATCACAACTTGGTGAATTTTAGATTGAAATATTTTTCAGGTTAGGGAGCCCGCATGCTCACACCCATGCCCTTTACCATGTCATTCTGATTGTTGCCCCCCTTGTGAGGTACTTCTTAAAAGATCGTGTCATTGTGGTGCTATGGTGCATGTGTTCAATTGCGCTAACTACAATAGGTTGACTGTAGAGGAGCAGCAACTGACAAGATCATGTCGTGGCCCATGCCATAGGTAACTTGTAGTGCTATTTATTCATTTTTTAAACTTGTGGTTTCATTAGTTTCCCTGCCATTTACCAGCATGCTTTTCGTATGTAAATGTGTGTGACTAAACAACTATGAAGCTAGTATTCCACCTGCCTTGCCTCTACCTATTACATGATAAGCCTTGCTTGCCATAAAATGTTCCGTATTTCTTGACATGCTATCCCAAATTTTTTTTTCTAGGAGGATATTCAGTCATCATCATAATACATCATTTGCAGTATGCTTCTAAAGTGAAGATAATAATGTGCATTATTATTTTGTTCGCTATTCTCATATGCATTTTTTTATTGGTGTATTCATCTTTTTGAAATGTTTGCTTATTTCTTCTGTCTACAGAAAATTACCTAATTGCCCTCATTTATGCTCTGATATTTGTCATCCTGGACAGTGTCCATCAATTAATCTATGCTCTAAAAAGGTATACTTCTAAATTTTTATCATCCAAATTTGGCTTCAGTCATTTTCCTTATTCTTCCATTCCAAAAACATGTAAGAGTTACAGTAGTGATCTTTTTATGCTTATTTACCTTTGAAATAATTTCATAGGGTCAATCATATTCATGGATAGGCATTTTCATTGTCAAATAGGATAACACATTATTTCTGCCAATTATTATTTGTATAGGACTATCTTAAAATTATATCATAGTTTCAATCTATTTTTCAAAATTTCCTCTCTTTATGATAATTCAACCATCGGCTATCATGAGTGTGTCAACTATATGGTTTCATCAGCATTGAAGGATATAATTAATTGAAAAGGTGTCAAATAGTATCTAAATTTTTAGAGATTTGTTTGTATAGCCATAATAAAAAATAGCTATAAAATGAGTAATAGGCATGACGAGCAACATCTGGATAGAATCTGTATTTTCTGCAAGAGTAAGAGATAAAGGTTAATATGCAAAGCAGAATGCCACGCATAAAAGAATTTTTTTTGAAATGCGAAGTACAAACAAATTGTACATTTTAATTAAATGAAAAGCGCATATCACAAAAAATGTTATATAGCTTTAAACTATTTACAATATTATACAAGTCAGATTATGAAATAATCTCACATATTAAGTTAAGTGCTAACAAGAAAAATTATTATCAACTAATAAGCAATAGTTCATGCACACGGTTTGATGAGCTACGCATGATGTTAACCCATCATTGTACTGATCTTTTTGAATTGGGAAGGAAAAGTTCAGTGTGACATTGCAGCGCCTCAAAATGGCTCTTTTATGGAAAATGAACCAGTAGTATACTAGTAGAGATTCATGATATGAAATCCCGTTCTCTCTTCCGACCTCTGCTTGTGAGCAAATTAGTCTCTTCTCAGATTTTGTTTTTAATTCTAAAAAACTGTTGGCTATATGGATTGAAATCCTTGTACATGTCTCTTCACAATTTACCAATATCTGTGTTCCATTGTTGAAGTTGAGCCTTGCTATGCTTTCTATAAATATGGCATTCTTTTTATGCAAATCGAGTATCATATTTTAGCAACGTAACTTTTTATCAACTCCCGCATTTTGTTTACTTTGTTTCTAGGTTACTGTTCGCTGTGCATGCAATAGCCTTAAAAAGGAATGGCTTTGTCGTGATGTCCAAAATTTGTACCGCCAAACTGATCGGGATCCTAAAGATGTTGTAAAGAGCTTGTTTGGAATTGGTTTGATCCCATGCAATGCAGACTGTAAAAGTAAGGTGAAAGTTGCTGATGCTGAATTACAAATTCAAAAAGTTCCAGTGCCCAAGGTATTGATGTTTTTCCAACAGCATGTTGCTTGGTAATTATTCCTTTTTTGTCTGAAGTTTCCTCCATTAGATTTGCTTGGCTCAGTTGTACAAGCTGTGTTCTTGCAAATTTTGCTTTACATATGCGCGGCATGCAAATTTGAACCTGTGGTGGTTGTGTGCACGTCTGATGTTCCAAACATTTGTTGCTTTAGTGCAATAATGTATTTGTTTATAAATTCATATGAATGCTTTGGCAAAAAGGGCTATTGAAGTTTCTTTTGAAGATGTCTCTTTTGTTGGTTTGGCGCTGTATTAATTATTAGATGTCTTTTGGCTAAGAAGCATATTTTAGTGAGTTTAAACATAGCATCATGGTTTTGGGCATAGCATCATATTTTTATTTTTATTTTTTTTAGCATAGCATCATATTAACGTGCCTTACTATGTAGAATAAGGGATAGATTTGTATTCACTAGTTTAATTCAGACATTTATTTAGAATTTGTGTTGAACACGTGGGAAATTTATTTGAGTTTGAAGCTTGTCACCTTAGACTTAGCAGAAAACTTCACGTGGTCAAGCTATGTCTAGTTATAGCGGTCAATTATCTCAAACCTTGCCGAGCTTATTAGGATTTTTTTCTTTTTTTCATTTTGCGTTCTGTATTAATAACCTTTATGGAGGAAAAAACTAAGCTAAAGGAATTGCTAAGAAGTAAGCATCTTACTTGTGTTTGATTTACTATTTTCCTGCAAAAGGGTATCTAATGTTTCACCTGCCCCTTTGTAGTTCATTAGCCATTTTGTGGTCATAGAGCCACAGTACTGTTTGGAGTATTAGTGCTTGTAGAAAACCCGCAACTCACTAAGAACATTGCTTCAGACATCTATTATTTCTGGTGGTTTATTTTTGTCATGTCTACACTTCCTCACCTGAGCAGTTTGGATTTTTTTTTAATAAAGCACAATATTATAACTATAAAATAATATGACTATAATAAGGATAATTATCAGAAGTTGTCATAGTATAGAGAAAACCACAAAATATCAAATAGCTTGACGTCTAAAGATGAACCTTCCAGTGTTGAAAACAGCAGGAGATAAAAAGGAGCTTATTTGGACCGCGTTATTTTAAGCCAGGCAAAAATATTGATGGGTGATGCTATATATTTTTTTCTGTTTACAACCCTGTGATAAATGTTATTTGAAATCTCATATCCATCATAGTATCATCACTAATAGTGAAGCAATATGAATATGTTATTGTAATACATGTCATTTAGGACAATATTTAAGCTTCTAATTCCTAGTTTTCACTCACAAGGGCATAGATGTTGTTGCTGCTGCTGTGACAAAAAGGAGAAAGAGAAGGGAGCGCATACAAGTAACTAAGCAGGTTTCAAAGTTCCAGGTGTGTGGTAAAGGACAAGGATTTAATAAATTTTTTTTTTCATCCTTCCCCTCCATCAGCTTAACTTGAGCATGCTCTGCTATTCCAGGCATTCAGATCAATCTTACAGAGGTGTCTCTTGTTTACTCTCATATTGATTGTGATATGTGCAAGCCTATGCTATGGCTACAAGGCCCTCTTCTGGCTTTCCGATCGGATGTATGAAATAGAGAGAAGAAAAGTCAAAAAAGGATTATCAAAATTTTGATTGCCGAGAGAACACGCATAATGAAGGCATACAGGATTCATTCAATTTTTTCATCTTGGAGTTCCTAAATTGTGCTAATCGATACAGTTGATAAAACATCATGATCTAAGTTGGCTATGCTATGCAACTTAGGGTTTGTACTATGTTAATTGTTGCAACTTCAATCACTTTGTTGTGGTTTTTTAGTGCACAGCAAGGTATGGTGGGAGTTTTAGAGGTCTGTTCTATATCCCAATAACCTTGGGAAATATCATTGCAAATATCCTGATCATTGGCCGTCAGCTTGCATTGCAATTTTAGATGATTTTTGTTGTCATATTAGAATTTCTTACTGACAGAGGTCTCATCCTTCTGATGTCTTCAACAAGAGGATTACTTTGTATGATTTCAATGGACCGGTCTAACAATACTCAATGCTATAAATGATTTGTGAGTTGACTCGTTAGTTAGTTTGTGAGTTGGCTCGTTTAAAAAATATTAATTTGAAATATATTTAAAATATTTTAATATTTGAGATTTTAAGTATAAAATTGTTAAAATGATAAGAAAAAACATCTCATTTTTTTTAATGATAAGTGATTCTTTATTATTACTTTTTAATTCATTCTTTTAATTATTTTATTATAATAATTATTTAAATTATAATCTTTTTTTCTTTTTGCTGGTTTGTCATGAGCTAGTTTAAACTTGTAAAATAAAGCTAACTTTCTTAATCAATCGAGTTCAAAGTTAATGGTGACTTGAGCTCATGTAGGTTATTTTATAAAGATTTTTTTTTCAAGTTTTAAGATGTAAAAGAAGCGATATTATGGAGTGGCATATTGACATTCCTTTCTGGGCCACATGAAATATATGAATCAAATGTGATTGGCTATTATTTCAACTCCAGATAACCTTATCCAAACAGCATGTGCTTTTTAGTGAGGAAGAAAAACAGAGGCAGCAAATCTGCATGATGGTAGGAGCAGCTGCTGTAGGGCAGTCTTACCTCTCCACAATTACAGCAACAGTTAAAGCAAGAGCTCAAGAGCAACAAAGAGGGCTAATAGGGTCGTCCGGACCGATCCTATCAATCCCGGCCAAGGATGCGGCGGCTGCATTGAGACATGAAGGTGGCGGCGAGTACCAGTTACTTGATGTTCGGCCAGCTTGGGAAAGAGAGAAGGCTTGGCTGCAGAATTCTCTTCATGTGCCCCTCTATGTAGAGGACACCCAGATGGACCCTCTAACCCTCCTCAAGAAATGGGTTCATTTCGGCTATATTGGTCTCTGGACTGGCCAGCGTTTCACCACCCTCAATCCTAGCTTTGTTTCTGAGGTTCAGAGTCTTGTTCCCATGAAAGATGAGAGGGTTCTAGTTGCCTGTGGGGAAGGGCTTAGGTCCATGGTTGCAGTGAAGAAGCTCGATGAAGTTGGCTATGAGAACCTGGCATGGCTTGCTGGTGGTTTCAATAGTGCTGGAGAAGAAGATTTTAATAAAGTTGAAGGGAGTACCAAGTTACAATATGCTACTGTGGGAGGGGTTTCCTATTTCTTTCTCCAGCTGTTGTTGATCCTAAAAGTGATCGGCCCGTAGTGTTCTCAAAAGCTTGATAGGTTGTGAGATGAGTTGGAGAATGATTGGTTTTTCTGTTGTGCTCATTAATTATTGTATCACCCAAAGTTCTACTTTGCTTAGGAGCTATTTTATTTATTGAAATGAAATACAAAGTACTCTAAATGTAGGGGAAATCAAATTTTGGGGGTTTGATTTGATGAAAAATAAATGCAATATTAATTTCAGTGAATTCCTTTCCCTATGATTTTGAGAATAGGGCCGGACCCGCCAGTTCGATTGATTTATTTGTGAACCAGTCATATAGCTAGTTTGATTCATAGTAAAAATCGGCTTATCATCAAATTGGCTTGAACCTATCAGAACACCTGATTTGACTGGTGAATTGTTGAACCGATCTCATATCGTTCAAATTGTTCGATTCAATGCTATTTGATTTAAATAATTTAATAAATTTAGAGTAATATTGTATTAAATATAATAAATTAATTTAACATATTTAATTTTTATAATGAATGTTAAATTTATTTAATCATAATTTTTCAACTAACCACCAACAAAACTCACCCACACGATTTCATCTGAGCTCTTACCACGCACAAACGAGAAAAATTATATAAAGAAGACAAAAGAAAATCTCTCAAGTGAGATGTGTCTAAATAACTTAATTTTTAAATTAAAAAACATACATTATATATTTTTAAAGAGACTCTTTTAATTAGTTTTTTAATAATGTAAATATATTTATTTTTTTCATACACTTTTAAAAGTAATTTTTACATATTTTTTAATTATAACTCATCTAACATGAATAATTTATAGAATCATGTTTATAATGTGAATTCAACATATAATTTATAGTTATAAATTTTATCTAAACATAATATAGAATAGTAATAATTTATATTAAATTTGTGACTTTATATGTTAACTAATTAATCACAATTCATATTATTGCATAAATATTATACTTTTGTTATATTATTTAATTTTTATTTAAATAATTTACATATTTATTATGTCATCTAGTTCAACCTTGGTTGAACCATTGAACCTTGTACCTACCGCATTTTTTTGGCTCTATGTCTGGTTCAATTGTCACAACATCACCTTTTCACTCCCTAGTTAAATTTTGATATGTTTTAAACATGCCCAAAATTGGCCAAATTTCTTCTTCATTGCAAGTTGAATGTATTGGCACTTCCTGCCATTGGCTAACACCACCAGCCTGACCATGTGGAGTTTAACTGATGATTGTATCAGATAGCCTGACCATGAGGAGTTTGATTGGAAAACACCACAATACTCTTAGCACGGTTAACATACAACCCAGAAGAAAAATTTAAAGTATCCAAAATTTGGTAAGAGATAAAGCATTAGAAATGGTTGCATTGAAAAAAATAAGATCATTAGCATAGAGTAAGTGAGAAAATATAGATTCTTTAAACATTATAATAGATAAAGGAATATCAATATTAGTACATTCTAGCATATTCGAAAAATAATCAATAATGATACAAAAAAAGTAAAGGGATAAGGGGAACCCTTATCTTAATCCATATTGGGAGCCAAAGAAGCCTACTAGCGATCCATTGATGCAAATAGAGAAATATTAATCATCAATACATGGCTTAATCCAACTAACAAAAATGTTAGGGAGGCCTTTTTGAATAAGCCAGTGCAGGAGAAAGATCCTAAAAACCTTGTCAAATGCTTTATGGATATCAAGTTTGCAATAAAATAATTTGGATGACCTAACATGATTGAACCACCCCAGTAGTTCAAAGGAATGTATAACATTGTCAGAAGCAATCCTATTTTAAATAAAGCCTTCTTTATTGTGGTTAATGATGTGAAGAATGATAAACTTAATGTGGTTAGCCAAAAAATTTTGCAATACTTTTATAGTAAGTATTATAGAGAGAAATGGGTTTAAAATTCGTAATATTACTGGTATGAGGTCTTTGCATAATTAAAGTAATGGCAATGGCTTTGAAATGCTTAGAGAGATAGGAAGAGTGAAAGAAATGCCTTATAAACTTGCAAACATGAGGATCAATAACATTTTGAGAGCATCTATAGAACTAAAATGTGAAGTGTCAAGACTCTGAGCTAAATATTTTTGACTAAAAAAGATTTCCTATTTGATCTCATCATCCTTAAATGAGGGATGGGTCATATGAGATGGGATCATGTTACCAATGGGAAAGTGAACCATTCTTGCAAAATTAGCAGAGCAATAAAATTATAAAGGATTTTGAAGTATTGTATGATGGTATTATATGTGTCTACTGGAGAGGTAAAGGAACACAAGGGGGTAATAGTCCCTTTAATGAAATTACAATATATTTAATTATATTTTTTTTAATGTAGGAACTTTAGATAATTCTCTTAGTTAGAAAGCTATTTATCTTTGGACCATTGGATGATCCAAGAGGCCCAATTTTGGGAGCAAGAAGTCTGTTTTTCATTATTAATATTTAGATCTACATTTATAGTAATTTTGGAAGGATCATAATTAAGCATTTATAGGAAATTGAGCTAGAGACCATTAAGATCTTTAATTTTAGAGGATAAATGTTTAGAGGAGGACCAACACACACTTTATCTCATTTTTTAGAAGAGTCAACTTATGATGAAAGGAGGGAGATAGGGTTACCATTGGAATCTTGAGAGAAAATGGTGAGGAGGGAATCGTAGAAAGAAGGGAGATTGGTCTAATAGTGTTTAAATAAGAATATGTTTTTAATTTTAATTGGAAAATCAAAATGTATGATGATAGTAGAGTGATCCAAGAGCTGGGGTTGTTTCATACTATAGAAAGAAAGGTGGAAATATTCTAGATAAAGGCCATTCATAAGGGTTTTGTCTAGATTCAATGAGGATAGGTTTGTCCAACCTATGATTGAACCAAGTGAAAAATAAATCAAATGAGGCACACTCATTTAAACCTATAAAAAATTATGCTATTAAGGGCCCAAAGCTTTTTGTGAGGAATAACATTATCCCTAATATTTGCATTAGCAAATCTTTATTAATTAAAGTCTGTAATGATATCCCAAAGAGATTAAAATTTTTCATTAAACCCTTTAATAAGGCTCCACAAATGCTCATACTCCCAGTATTTATTAGAGGCATATATAGTGAGGAATGGCACTTGATCATGTAAGGAAATCATCCCATGAATGACTTGGTTGGAAATCTAAATGGTTTTAAAATAAATGTTGGATGAATTCCATTTGAGCTAGATATAACTAGGGTGAGAGTACTCAAAGTTGTGACAATATGCTTCATTATAAATAATTTTATGTGAGGTAAAAATTAGGGATTAGGTACCCGAGAGAGCTGACCTTAGCATAAAAAATGCATAAAATGTCAAGGTTATGAGATTGGGGAAAATCTATACACATCAAAACTTCTCCAGGGCTATTTAAACATCTCACTTTCAAAGAAAAAATTTTAGGGTGAGTTATTGAGATTATTTTTTAGTAGAGCTTGGCACCTTTTACATTGGTATTTTGTTTTTTGAAATCTGTGAGCCTGACCTGGTGTTTTGATGATTTTAAATATTATTTGTTAGATCTCTTTTTGCTCTCTGCTTTATATATATTACCTATTTATTTTATGTGTAACTAACATTTCAGGTATAACATACACATAGCTGAGTTAAAGAAGCAAACTTAAGAAATTATAGAATTGAGTCTAGTTAAACTTGTAAGAAAAGCTTGTATTCTTTTTTTCTTGAGTCCTTTATATGATTAGGTATATATTAGAAAGAAAACCATGCACACACTCACAAGTGGGGGTGTAAATTAAACACTTGAATTCTCTATAAAATAATTTTATATGATCCTAATAATATTGCAGGATATGTTAATGCATAAAATGAAATTAAGTATTAAATTAAATTTATTAAAGTAACTTCTAGCAAAAATAATCTTACTATGTGATTTATGATCATACAAGATGATTATTCATTTTGATTAAATATTATCATTAAATTTGAGTTTCCAAATTTAAGCAAATTTGAAATTTAAATTTTGACCTAATTATACTACATGAAAGATTTCATATTACATGATTACTAATGAATCTTACCTAATTTGGATCATTAATCATGCAATCAAATCAAGATCAAATCTTGATTGGCAATTATATAATATGATTTAAGTAATCTAGTATAATTTAACAGAACATGTGGTGGACAAACCTAAGTTCATCCAAGATGATCTTTGATTCAATATAGTTGATCATACTATATAATTACCTTTCATACAATCCAATCTTAAATAATTCAAAAATGGGTGTTTAATTATTAAAATAGTATGATACACACTTCATTCTTTTTTTTTTTGGGTTAAAACCCATAGAGGCCCTACGCATTAATATCAAAAATGAGGTTACATGTCCTTAATGGGATTGCTAACCCACGATGGCTCAAAAGAGCTACAAAAGAAAAAGCAAGAAAACGTAAGAGTCGGCAATCCCCACTAAGCAAAAAAACTAAAGGACCTAGTAACAGTCTAAAAATAAAAAAAGAAAGAGGCAAAGGAATCCACAATCAGCTCAGCCTCGCTAGTTAAAAAGGGACCCTGTACAAAATGGGCATTAGTCTTCAAAAACCTATAAAAAAGACCTGTAGGGATACTAAAGAAAGTAATTAACAACAAATAAAATATAATCTTCTAGAATTCTAGTGAGAGAAGCTCTGTTTTTTTCTAGTGAGAGAAAGTGTTGAAATTTTAATTTTTTTTTTTTGCGGTTTTTTAGCAACTGTTTTGATGGCAGCGAATGCTTGCCGGACACCAGTCGATGGTGGTCCCGGTGAACTTAGACGTCCATCTACTGGCGGTGTATTGAATCCCGTTAGATCTCTTCTGGCGTTTGGTGATACAGATTCTGCTAGGTTGAAAATGTGAAATGGTGGTGCTTTGGTGATTAATGAAGGTGGACTTCATTTTTCTAAACAATCTATTCCTGATATTGGTAAAGGTAAAGAAGTTTTGTTGGAGAATAATTTAATAGTTCTGAAACCTATCCCTAAGGTTTTCATTGAAAATTTGAGTTTGAATGGTCAAGTTGTGGATTCCTCTGGTTCAAAGATAGGAGTATCTGATTCAATAGTTGTGGGCGATATTGATATTGGTGTTAAGATGGATAATTTGACAGTTAAAAGCAATAATGTGGATTTGATTGCTGGGGTTGTGGAGGTAAATTCTCAAGCTCATGATT